TAAGTCTCACTAAATGTTAGTATTACTACTGAGTAAAGCCATGCCCCTCCACACAGGCATGCCACAACAAGAGTTGTTAAGTCTCACTAAATGTTAGTATTACTACTGAGTAAAGCCATGCCCCACCACACAGGCATGCCACAACAAGAGTTGCTAAGTCTCACTAAATGTTAGTAGCCATGCCCCACCACACAGGCATGCCACAACAAGAGTTGCTAAGTCTCACTAAATGTTAGTATTACTACTGAGTAAAGCCATGCCCCTCCAGAATGCAGCCATTTCACTAAAAAGAATAGCTAAGTCTCGCTAAAGTTCAGTCTTTTTACTAAATGCAGGCATACCTTACCAGAGTGCAGCCATTTCACTAAAAGAGTAGCTAAGTCTCACTAAAGTTCAGTCTTTTTACTAAATTGCAGGGATACCTTACCAGAGTGCAGCCGTTTCAAGTGTGCCAAATCAAATCTAATAACAGGCATTTTACATGTAGCGTAAACAAATGGCAATATTTAACAATTAAATTATGTGTATTTCAAGGAGAGGTTGAGACATTTACAGGAACCAAGACCAATCGGCAAACAACCAGCACATGGATTCTTCTGACCATCTCGGTAACATGCCAGGCGTTATCAGCGTTGTCACGAGTCTGGAAAGTGGATCCGGCAATAACAGACCACAAAGTAGAGGAGGCTTTTGTGGAGGAGGACACAACAAGGGCACACAACGCGGTAACGATAGAAGCAATCATGATCATCCAGTGCATCAAAATCTAAAGCCACGGTGTAGGGACTACGACGGTAAGTTACGACTAAGAATTGTTTATAGTGTGATCATCTTCTATGTTGGCTGGTAGCAAACTTGGAAACTCACAATATTATTATACTCATCTAACCTGTAATTAGTAAACTGATATTATTCTTTTGACTCTGAAGTAATAGGGGGATATGAATATGGGTTTTATTATATATTTTAACATTATGATTACTTTTTTTCAATAACTAGAAAACATTGATATTCATAAAATGCAACCCAACATAAATGAATGCTTAGTTACAAGAATAATTTATTAAAATCTGGTTTTTTTTTCAATTCAAATTATACTAAAATATGAAAGTTTTATGCAAAGTGATTTAAGTTATGATTTAACCCGACAATACTTACATACATCAAAGGACCTAATTCTATTACCACCCACATTTGAGGCCACCACGCCATAGCAACATTCTAGAATATGGACTATATCACACTTTAATTCCTACCAATACAAAAATCACAGTTAAAGCAGTAGACACACATCCTGAATTGCATCAAAATATTTTAAAAGACAATTTTGGTCCCAAAATTTCACATTTTATTGTAATCTGTTTAATATGAATATTATCATTATTGAAGTTTTCTATGCTTCAATTGTTGATACCACAATTTCATAACCACCCCATTTTTCCGATACTGCAGCATAAGATGTAACCCACGACACATGATAGCATCGACAACACATTTTTACGAATATTAATTGTTGATTTAAGCTTAGCATTTATTTATAATTTAATAGTTATTAAATTATTATGAATTTTTTTATTTGAAGTATGGTAATAAATCAGGTGATAGAAAAGAAGGAAGCAAGTCACACAACGAATCTGCATTCCATCTAAAGATGAGTTGTCAATCAACAAGAAGAAACCAGATAATAAAAAAAGGTACAAAATTATAAACTAGAAAAAATAGAATTTAAGTTACGTAAGGCAGTTTGACTGACGCAGTGGAGTTGGTTTGGTTTTCTAACCTTGAGGTTAGGGTTTCAATTAATTCGCTGTGAATTTTACTTGTGTCCTTGAGCAAGGCACTTTATCTACATTGCTTCAGTCTACCCAGCTTTATCAATGGGTAACAGCAAATTACTGGGAGTTAACCTGCGGTGGACCAGTGTCCCACCCAGGGCGGACCATCACACATTCATCCGTTTTACCCAACTTTAAACTGGGGATAACTTCAGCTCATATGAGCCCTGTGTGTTGCGTGCACTTTGAAATAATCGTCGCACTTTGTAATAACTGTCACACTTTGTAGTAAAGTCTGTCATAATTTGTACACCACTGTTTCACTGCGGAAGAAAAGCTGTAACAGGGCGATTGGTAATTTTTGTTAGTGCAGAGCCTTTGTGTTATGTCATCACTTTGTAGAGGCTTAACACCGATCAGGTAATTTCTTCATAATCACAAACAAAAAATACTATGTCACAACACATGCATTACTGTTAATTTTGTAATCAAAACAAGATACCACTTCAACACTTTATTAAAATATAGTTGCATTTGTAATACGCTTATAAAAACACACATAATTAAAATGTACAGAATCACAATGAAATAACTAAACTGGGCCTAATTTCAGGGCTTAGTCTGTTTCTACACTAACCCGGCTACGATTATAAGAAAATCAGAAAAACGACCATCATAAAAGCACAATAAAAAAAATTCAGAACTATTTTTATTCTACCATTTTGAAATAATTACCTAAATGGTATTAATTAATTGTAATTCTTTTAAAGAAATCATGAAATATTTTATTTGAGATATTTATTTGCCCAATTTCGAAGTGGCACTGATAAACCGGCCACGCTTCCCGGCGTTGTAACTGCGTTGATTAACCTGGCTAGGCCTTTGCATCAAGCGTTGATTAACCTGGATAGGCCTCTGCATCAAGCTCTTCCATTCAGCGTATACAGTCACTAAACCCAGTCATATGAGTATGTAAACAATGTCACAGTTGAATTTGTAGGCCTAACCGAATTGTTTATTTATTTTGATTGTTCAAAATTCAACAGCAAAAAATATTAAATAATATTATTAACTAAAGTTTACATCCATCTTTTTAGTATGCATCATGTACCTAATAGCTGCAGACATAACTTTTGTTATATGACTCTTCATTTTGTACTTTGTTATAGACAGAAATTTAATTCTTTATTTGTAATCTAAAAACAATCTTTAATAATATCCTCAAAAATCACAAATGTTAGCTTGAAAATTGTTGTGTGCTGTGTCATGATATAAATACATGGTACCCATAATATATGCAGACTCAAAATTGTATCCATTATCATAGAAACATATTTAATCAATGAAAATCAGTCGAACACCTAACTGATGCTGTTAAAATAAATTAAAGATAATGATGGAGAGCTCAAAATCCAAACAAATGAAAGGGTGGGTGTAATTTTATACAAACATGGATACTCTATGTTTCTGGTAGAGGCTGGAATAGAGCAATCATGCTTGATGTTGGTGGACAAGGTAGTAGTCATGATTTCACACTCTAACATAACATGGGAGCAACTGCAAAAAAAAAATCAATAGCAAAAAATTATTCTGAAACTATAGGTATAAATATTAATGATGTACATTACTGTATGTAGTGAAAAAATGAATGAAAAAGCTAAAAAAAAAATAATGGTGTTTTTATGTGTTTTTTTTTTTATTCAATTGAACATTTAAAAATTGGAATATTTTGTAAAAATGTTTTAACCTGAAGACAAACAGATAAGCTTTAATATTTATATTAATAAACAATAACCCAACTGCTAGAGGCTGGAATAAAGCAATCACGCTTGATGTTGGTGGACAAGGCACTTATGATATAATACAAAACGGTGGGGAAAAAAAATCAAATTTGATCCTCTAAAAATCTATAGAATATAATATAGATCGCGTTTTACTACAAAGTGCAACTGAGTTGATTACAAAGTGAGACAAACTCATTTTATTACAAAGTGTGACAGACAGTTACTACAAAGTGCGACAGCTCAGTTAATAAAAAGTGTGACAGAGTTTATTACAAAGTGCAACAGTTATTACAAAGTGTGACAGACTTTATTACAAAGCAACAGTTATTACAAAGTGTGACAGACTTTATTACAAAGTGCAACAGTTATTACAAAGTGTGACAGACTTTATTACAAAGTGCAACTGTTATTACAAAGTGTGACAGACTTTATTACAAAGTGCAACTGTTATTACAAAGTGTGACAGACTTTATTACAAAGCAACAGTTATTACAAAGTGTGACAGACTTTATTACAAAGTGCAACAGTTATTACAAAGTGTGACAGACTTTATTACAAAGCAACAGTTATTACAAAGTGTGACAGACTTTATTACAAAGTGCAACTGTTATTACAAAGTGTGACAGACTTTATTACAAAGTGCAACAGTTGTTACAAAGTGTGACAGACTTTATTACAAAGTGCAACTGTTATTACAAAGTGTGACAGACTTTATTACAAAGCAACAGTTATTACAAAGTGTGACAGACTTTATTACAAAGCAACAGTTATTACAAAGTGTGACAGACTTTATTACAAAGTGCAAAAGTCACTATGACAGGAGTCAGTAATTCCAACGTAAAATAAATCTATATATTTTACACAAGACATAAAATACAAATAAAATAAGACTTCAAAATGGATAACAGTCATTAAAATGAAAGTTAAAATTTTCAATTTTAAAATTAAGTGGGAAAAAATAAGTAATAAAATACTTTATATAAGAAACTGACACAACTGACTGCAGGTGAAGATACCAGTAGAAGATTACCCACAACACACCATGAATACAATGGTTAGTAATGCATTATTCATGATAAAATGTTCATTTAATTAATATTATCTAAAATACATCTTTTTGATATTATTCTTTTGTTGTGTAGTTTGGTCAGTCACACAAAAATCGTATTGTTAAACCATATCACAGTGTGGACAAAAATTAGCTTTTAATTAAAATTTAAATTGAAGAAACATATTCTGGCCAGGAAATGAGCATAATAACATTCCTACATTCTTTACATTTTTTGAAGGTTTCCATGGCGAGTATCAATAACAAAATCATTTTTTAGCATATACCTGCTAATGGATTTACTGGCTATTGTAGTAAATCTTCATTAGGTGCGAAAACCTATTTGTTAATACTTTTAAATCATGGATTGGGTTTTTTAAATGTTTCTTGGTTTCACCAGAAATCATTAATGATTCTTCCATTTTTTATTTCTTTGGTTACCAGCATCTGTTGACGACCAAGACCTGCTGTTCATCTGTGAAGATCTGGCTCTGATTGGAGGAGACTAGGAGTGCAGACAACAACACACTGAAAGATGGCGTCATGGAAACTCTGGCGTTGAGAGAACAGGGAATCGTTCAACTTGCGGAACAATTGTGTGAAAGCTGTGGTAACAAAGGCGCTGCTTGGCGCTGCTTCAAATCTACCTCAAGTTTCAGCAAAACATTGACAAGTACGAGGTTGGTGAAAATAAATTTGATACAAAACATTTAAAATTATGTTCTTTTAAAATGTATCCAATATTTTATTATGTACTTTTAATAATAATAATAATAATAATGGTCATTTATACAGCGTGGTTACAAATCGCTTGTATCATGCACATAGGAACCTCAAATCTGTAGAATACAGGTTATTCAGAAACTATTTTTACTTTGATTAAATAATAGAAATAAGCATAACTGGCAAAACAATAATGCAAAATCTTCAGGAAGTCTCCAGTCTGGTGCAATCCCGATCCCCTACCTGGGTGACTGGATAAAGGAACAGGAAACACATTTGCCCTTCCAGATTTTAAAAAAATATATCCAATAATTATTTTATTATTTATTTTAAACTTTTGTTTTATTTTGTTTTAATCAGGGTACATTCAAGATGCTAATTTATTAGTTATATCTGAGATGATGGGTAGAGGTTGGAAAGCTGTTGCCAGGAGTCTTGGAATAACAGAAGCAGAAATTGACGATGTACTCTGTAGATACAAAGTTTCAGAGACAGATTGTGGAAACTACTTTAGAAATGCTTATCCGATGGAGGAACAGACAAAGAACAAATGTAAATCAACTCACAATATTGAAGCCAGAATTGATTGAAAATGATAACAAGATTGCTGCTAATATATTAGACACATACTACCAACAACAGTAGCAACTTGAAAGAACTTTAATCAATAAATTAGAGTTGTACCTATAGGAAAAGACAAGACGAACAACAATGCAGTTATCTGAGTCACATCCATGTTGTTTTTTGAATGACTATCAGAAAGAACAAAACAATTTCAATTAAGATATTGGGCTATACTGAAAGCAGAGAAAAACTAATCTTGCTGGAGTCCAAGAAATTGGGAACACACCTTGTATTTTGTTTACTACTGTATAAAGAATTGTCTCTGTGAAGTCAGCTAGCATGGACATCACCACGCACTAATTAAAAAGTAGATGTATTAATAAAACTCTTTAAACCAGATCTTCAAGCAGACTTTTTGCTTTCAATTTGGAAACCCTGTAATGAAATTATGTAAAATTACGTAAAATGAGGACAAATAATTAAAAAAAATTAAATTCAAACTTGAAACCATTTCTGTAGACAAAGCATCAGCTTCATACGACCATCTATTTATTTGAGTTTTTATTATGTTGCATATCACTACTGCTGTATATGGAATTGTGAAGGGCGCCAATAGTTCGTTTGTTTTTTTCGATGTTGAATCAAAATGAGTGCACTTTAAGCCCTGTCAAAAGCAAAACCATGTGACATGCCTAAATATGGTCATGATGCCATTAGATCATGACCATATATAGGCACATAATGAGCTTATATGGGCGTACAACAGTTTTTTTTCAAATAAAATTTGATAGTCTAGATTAAAGACAAAGTACTTTTTCTACAATTATTTTCTTCACGGCATTTATACCATTGAGAAATACCATACACTCACGTATAAGACAATGGTTCAATTATTAAATTGTGAACGAAAAATGGGATCGTCTAATACGCACAACATACAAATCTTAGATTTATTAAATCATGTTTGTCTTTTATGTGTGGATCGTCTAATACGCACAACATACAAATCTTAGATTTATTAAATCATGTTTGTCTTATGTGTGGATCGTCTAATACGCACAACATACAAATCTTAGATTTATTAAATGATGTTTGTCTTATGTGTGGATCGTCTAATACGCACAACATACAAATCTTAGATTTATTAAATCATGTTTGTCTTATGTGTGGATCGTCTAATACGCACAACATACAAATATTAGATTTATTAAATCATGTTTGTCTTATGTGTGGATCGTCTAATATGCACAACATACAAATCTTAGATTTATTAAATCATGTTTGTCTTTTATGTGTGGATCGTCTGTAACATACAAATTCACTACTGCAGTGAAGCTACTAAATGAAATACAAAAATCGTCCAAAAATATTTTAAACTCGGCGGTCGTCTTACACGCGGGTCACCTTATATGCGAGTATACGGGAAGTAACTACTACATACTATTTTTCCTTATAATATATTTTGTAGTTTAACCAGGTTTTTTTTTTCTTTTGTTTTTTCATTTTGCAGCTTGGTTTTTGGGGAAAGAAAATTGGGGAAAGTTGTGCGGTCTTTTTTATTTTTGTGTATATTGAATTTTTAATTACTGTACTAGGTACCTTTTATATTATGTATATGTGTGTGTACATGTGTAGGGGTGCGTGTGTGTGCATGTACAGTACATATGTGTTGTATCCATGCGTGTGTGTATGCGTGTATGTACACAGGTGTGTGTGTGTGTGTGTGGCCTTTATAACATACACACATAAACAAGGTAGCTGGTGAACAAGTATTTTACTATTATTTCATTTTACCTTGTTTTGTTTTACTTCCCTCTTTATTTTGCTTTTATGTTTAATTGATGATCTTTGTAATTTATATTTTAAGTTTTAGTTTAGGTATTGTAGTTTCTGAATACACCACCAAATTGGCGTGTGCCATTGATACAAAAGTGAAAACCCAGCAGCGCCCTCATTAATTGTTAATAACACTGATATGATTTCCTATAATAATACCAACAATGTCCTGCATGTTCCATTAGGGCCCTATCACCTTACAGCAAGAGGTGGCCTAAACGATAGCATTATTATGATACAAAAAAATACCTTGAGAAAGAGTTACTCATAATAACCAATAAAAAATCAATATAACGCTGAATTTAAATTGATAATTTAGTAGAATGTTGGCCTTGTTCTTTTACGTAATGTAATTAATTGTACAATTCTGGGCGCACCACTATTTAGTGTGTGCCACTGTTTAAAAGTGGTTGTCGAAAAAATCTCAAATAAATCCGAATCTGAAGTATTTCCTCATTATGCCACGTCACTATTGACGCGATGCCTCGTCAATTATCGACTTAGATCCATATTAGGTAAAGCATTTTACATCTTTTTTTCACTAATAATAATATACATACAAACAATTTACACAAAGTAGCTGATAGAACTTTCCGTTCCAATTAAAATCTTTTTAGATTTTTTTTTTTGGATCGAGTTGAAATAGGCCTACTTTTAAAGTATAATTACAAACAACCTGTTGTACTTTACAGGTAGCCCATTATCTCATTGGCGCCAAGTTTGTCTTTACATACGGTGTTGTAGGCCATTGTATAACACCTATTCACTATTGCTATATTTCTTAATAATTATGAATAGGCAGTCTCATTGGTGCCAAGTTTTTTTTTACCTATCGTAGGCCATTGTATAACACCTATTCACCATTGCTATGTTTTTTAATAATTATGAATAGGCAGTATTATGTGCTTAAAGGCACGGTATCTTATTGTCTCGATCTCATTGGTACAAATATTGCTTTATATATGGCAGGTTTTGTGTAATTTACAATGGTTACAATACTTACTGCTGGCAATAAAGTTCAGCTTTATTGCAACTATGTGCTAGACTGACTCAATTGGTGTTTTGATTCATTTCTTTCGCTTTTGGTTTACTGTCGATGAAAGGGTAGTATTTTTTGATAGGCATTAAGTTATATGTCCGGCTATATGCTGTTGGTAGAAGAAAAATGATTAAATATTAACTTTCGTCAATAAGTGATATATATATGCTTATATACAATTATATATATAATTATAGGTATGTATATATATATATATATATATATATATATATATATATATATAATATAAAATAAAAAAACAACACGGTTTTGTTCTGCCTCAGTAAAAATTTATTTTTTGATACGACATGTTTAGGGCATAGCCTGGTGTTGTCGGACGAACCCTCCTCTGTGAAGAAACGTAACAAAATACTACTGGTTCCTGGCTTACAAAATTCATGCTAACTAGACGCTGATCCAGACCTTTACCTACTTCGCCCAGGCGAAGGTCAGGGTGAGAATTCAAATAATATGTTGACCATTTTTTCCAACAATGATTCTTACTTTCCTTGACACTCATTTTGAACATTACCATTAGGAAAATGTTTAAATCCACACTATCCTATACCTTACACTTGTATACTGATTGTACTGTAGGCCCTACCAGAGAGAGAGGTACATGCCCAATACATTATGGTCTTTTACTTCTATAGCGCATGATACAGTGCATAGCAAACGTTATGTAGCCACTATAATAATACTCGGGTCCAGTGGCGTAGGTATGGGCAGTGCAGTTAGTGCACAGCACTGGGGCCCCAGGGCTATTGGGGGCTCGTTCAATAGGTCTAATTATCTAAAAATATAACATTAAAAAAATCATATTTAAACTTTAAAAGGACCCTTCAATAATATTAGGTTTTAGGGGCTGTAATTATTGATTATATTCACTACAATTTACCTATTACCTATTTCCCAGACGCTGCAAGTGAAAAAATACAAACAACAAAACAAGCCCTTGCGTATACGATGCACTAATATACTTTTTGAAATCACATTTCTAAAGCAATAAAATATCGTCACGCACATTTGTATTTGTGGTATTTTAAAGTTGGTTCAAATATTATTGTGTACGTTTTTAAACACTTCAGATCATCATAACTTCATGAATACATTTTAGATTCACTTCACTGCAAGTAGGTCGATGATTGTTCTATTATTGAATGGTAATTGTTATTATCGTGATGGAATAGACAATACCTGGATTTGCGTCAGGAGAATCAATTAGTGGGCTTATATGTGCAATTTTGCCCAACCTGTCGTGAAAATGTACTGAATACTAAGTGCGTGTGAACACTTGCAAAAAATGCACTATAGTTTTTGAAATCACATTTCTAAGCAATAAAATATCATGACGCACATTTGTGTTTGTGGTACAGGTATTTTAAAGTTGGTTCAACTATTATTGTGTCATTTTAAACACTTCAGATCATCATAACTTCATAAATACATTTTAGATTCACTTAACTGCAAGTAGGTCGATGACTGTTCTATTTTTGAATGGTAATTGTTATTATCGTGATGGAATAAACAATACCTGGATTTGCGTCAGGAGAATCAATTAGGGGGGCCTATATGTGTAATTTTGCCCAACCTGTCGTAAAAATGTATTGACACTTATTGAACACTTGCAAAAAATATTTGCAAGTTGTTCTCTAATGGGAGTCGAACACACGTTTTCCAGATCTCTAGCCTGGCATCATACCTTTGGACCACAGAGCTTGCACCTGATGGCCAGGGTTGAATTCGAGCCCAAGTAAGCAGCGAGTACCGGTACTATTTTTGCAAGTGTTTTCACACGCACTGAGTATTCAGTACATTTTCACGACGGGTTGGACAAAATTCCACCTAGGCCTATATGTTCTATTGATGTTGTCAATATTATAATATATCATAGATTCATGAAATGTCTAATAGGCCCTAAACGATAACATAGGGCCTATATATGACTTGACCATATTTTGTTTTCAATATTCTTCAATTTTTTAAACAAAATATTTTTTAGATATTTCTGAGCGTTAATGCCGTACTGTATCTGGTAAAAAAATCTCAGAATGTATGAGCATTAAGAGTTTCGCCTGAGTAGACACCACTAAAAGCTTTGTCTTTATGTCCGATCAGGTGCATTTTTACCAATTTTACCTAGGGCCCGGCCGCTCTATGCTATAGTTACCAACCGTCACGCATCACTTCAAAGTGATTTAGGATGAAACGCGTTTTGCAGAAACACATGCGAGATCGATCATAATGTGCCACGCATAGCACTTGCGTGATAACGAATTATCACAAATTCTAGGGAAAACGTACCGGTATTTAAAATTAGAAGAAATTGGTTTTATTAAAAATATAAAAACGGTCATACAGTAGCTTGAGTCATTAGAGAGCTTTGTTTATCTCGTTCGAGAATGAGTTCACTGAGAAAAGTTCTCCTTTCCGACCAAAAAACAACCCAGCCAACCACGCACTTGTAGAATCTAGTAGGTGAGCAGTCTTGCGAGTTTATTGTTACAACCAACCATTGAGTGTGACGGGAACCCGAACTTCCGCAGGGGTTCCGTAATAAGCAATACCGATAACTCGCGTAGGTCCTATAAGGTGACCCGTGTAT